TTTTTTTTTTTTTTTCTTCTTTTTTTCCACCTCTATATCAGCGTAACATTTTTATATTTCCTTCTTTTATAAAAAAGCATAAATTATTTTTTCGCCTTATCCGGGCAGTTCCCCTTTTTCGTTGAGTGTTTTTTTTTTTATTCCTTGGAGGGAGAGCAACGATCGAGTGGTTAAGCAAGTAGAAAGATTTGTTCAAGATTTTGCGCAAACAGATCAGCATTAATTTCCTTCCTTTTGGCGCATGCTCCTTTCTGCAACATCGCAAACTTGTGTGCCCTCTTTTTTTTGCGTTTAACTTTTTTCTTTTCTTTCTTTCTTTTTGCGAATCGAAGCCGATTGCTTGAGCATACACAACAGTCAGGTGAGGAACTGATACGGCTATATGTGAACCACACTGAAGGGGTGCTTGTCTCTTCTTTTTTATAGGAGCACAAATTGGTAATCCCGCCGGGGATATATATGTTTGCTCGTGTCCCTATTTCTTCGGTCCTTATTTATGCGGTCCTCATGCCCACGGTTGCAACACCATTTGAATCGACCACCACGAACCGCTCAGTGAATCAACCACCGCGAGCCGCTCAGTGAATCCCCCACTCTGCTTTCAACCGTTTGGGACGACACCTCCAGAGGGGCGAACAAAAAAAGATGAGAATAATTAGGAGCCGCTCCGTTCTGCTCCGTGCCGCGTCTTTACGTATTATTTCGGCACCGCATCTTCTGTGGACACTCTTTTAAGTGGCTCTTGCAGCCTGACTCTCCGTCTGCCCATTTGTAGAAATTTGTCTAACCAGGGGTTTAGCTAAAATTTTTGTTCTTCATGGCCCCTTGAAAATAACACATTTGGAGTGGGATTAAAAAGGTACGTGTAGGATTTGCCTCGAATTCAAGCGGCCAGTTACCGCAGATCTCCGTGGGTGGCACGTCGGAGCAGCGAATCCTCCCTGCTGAGGAAAATCATACATATTGAACCGCGGAAGTAGGTATAAACAGCTCTGCCTGTGAAGAAGCCCCCAAAGAGAAAAAAAAAAAAAAAAAAAGAAACAATAAAGAAACAATAAAGCAGCCTGCCAACCATTTGGACACCACAGCAAGCTACCCAAGTCGACAAAATGAGGCAGAAGAAAACGCTCAAGGTGAGCATCCACGAAATTGAAAAATACTGCCCCTTCGTGAAAAACATACAACTCTTTTACAATGCCAATGAGGGCAAAAGGGAAGACAAGCAAGGAACAGACAAGCACAACACAGAGAAACACAGCAAAGACAAGCACAACAAAAACAATGTGGTCCTATCAGTCATGTCGAATCTATGCCCAGTGGCAAAGGCCATAAACGAAAAGCGCCTAATCATAATAGACAACAAATCGAAGATAAGTATTTTTAAAATTCTCAGAAAGTCGAACATCCTATCGAGGCAACTGGTGGATTCCTTGGCCGCTCGAAGTGGGACAATACAAGTAGAAGCGGAACAGGCGGAAGGGACGGATCAGCAAAGGGGCAAGACGATGACAGGAGTGAGGAAAACACTTGCTGGTGAGTATAGCCTGACCGGTGATGCTCAGACAACGGAAGACACCCTTTGTGGAGAATGCTCGTGTAAGAGGTGGAGACAACCCAACAGCGGCACCCACAGCAACACCCACGACATCACCCGCCGCAACACATACACCACCATTCCTAGGGTAGTTGAAAATAAGCCCAGTGACTCATTAACTTGGACTAATGAAAGCTACAACCTATTCCAAAAACAGTGCACAAAAGAGCTGAAGAAACTTCTAGAGAAACTCCATTTAGACAAACGATACAGAGTGTTTACCATCCTAAACAAATGCAGGAAGTATTATCCAAATGTGCATATAGAAAATGACAAATTATTGCTCCCAATTTTTTTTGATTTTTTTCAAAATTTTGGCTACAAGCCCTGTGTTGGGAATAGTGCGTGCAGAATTGGGGGCGATTATGGTGCCGTCCCGGATGGATTAAGAAGCGCCCCCTCCAGGAAGGAAAACAATCATGGGCGGAATCCTTGCAATGCGCGCACATCGCCTATCAAGACAACCAACGAGAAAACCGTCGTGTGGTGCTCCAACGATTATCTATGCCTTTCGAATAACCAACAAGTGATTGACGTCGGAATCGAGACGCTGAAAAAAATTGGGAACAGCAGTGGAGGAACACGGAACATCTCAGGTAGTCTACTAAATCATAGTCACTTGGAATATATTTTGGCTAAATGGTTTAATAAAGAGAGTGCCTTATTATTTACCTCGGGGTATATAGCAAATGTGGGTGCATTAGAAACTTTGGGGAAATTGCTAAATGTTGTGTTCGTATCGGACCAAATGAATCATGCATCTATAATCAATGGAATCAGAGAATCGAGATGTGAAAAAATTATATTCAAACATAACGATATGCTAGATCTAGAAAAGGTTCTAAAAAAACTAAGAACAGATAAAGAATATCAAAATAGAAAAATCATGATTGTCTTTGAATCCATTTATAGTATGTCTGGCAATATTTCCAACATTCCACATATTGTTCATCTAGCCAAAAAATATAATGCACTTACCTATGTTGATGAGGTTCATGCAGTGGGATTGTATGGCAAAACGGGTTCTGGATATTCAGAAGAATTAAATCTATGTGATCACATTGATATAATTAATGGTACTTTATCAAAAGCGATAGGTTCCTTGGGTGGGTTCATCTGTGCGAACAAGTATTATATTGACGTCATTAGGTCCTACTCGCCCCATTTTATTTTCACCACGTCCTTGACGCCTGTTAATATTAACACCTCTGCGGAGGCTATTCACATAATTCAGAGCGACATAAATCTGCGAAATAAATTTCGACAAGTTGTCCAAAAGACAAAGGAAAGTTTGGAGCGACACGGGATACACATTATTAAGAACAACTCCCATATCGTCGTCGCCTTGATTAATTGTGCTGAGAAGTGCAAGCAAATTTGTGACGAGCTGCTGACGGAACATAATATATACCTGCAGCCGATTAATTACCCTACCGTTTCGAGGTAAGCAGGGAGAGTGGCGTCGCCTTTACGGAGTCATGTGCTGGCACCCATCGTTTACACCGAGTCTTCACACCCAGTGTTTACTCTCAGCGTATGTACGACTTGTGCGTTCACTTGTTCGCTTCCTTCCCCATTTGCTGCCTCCCATTTTCTGCCCCCCACCTGCCACTCCTCAGGGGATCGGAAAGAATCCGAATCACGCCCTCGCCATACCACACAGATGAGCACATTGAAAAACTGGCGCGTAGCCTTTACCGGCTCTTCAAAAAGTACCAAGTAAATATGTTTGATGGGAAGAACAGTCAGGCGCAAATCAAGCTATAGTGCTAGGCGGAGCGGGTCCTCCCCTCCCCCCACTTCCTTCTTGTCTGACTTGTCCACGAGAAGGTGATGCATCTCCTGGCACATGTGTGTGTATACATATATATAGACATACATAAGCAGATACAGATGCATGTGCAACTTTTTTTTTCGACCTGTTCACCCATTTGGCAAAATGCGATCGCGCAGAGGACTGCCAAATCGGATCTGAAACTTTTCGAAAGCCGCACTATTTCACACTGCGTTATATTTTCCCACCATTTGGTTTACACCCCCTGCATCCATCACATATATGTGTGCACACTTCGGTCTGGAAGGCACAATTTTTCGCTGACCCGAACCTTTCCAACGTGCATATGATGCAGAGGCCAACTAGAGGGTCGACGGTGGGAACAGGGGAGCTACAAAAATGAGGCACTTTCTAACGCGGCTACACAAGAAGTATGGGATCACAGAGGTGTACCCACCGATTTGTTCACATTCATAGGATCCCCTTGCCCCACCGTGAGGGGAGTTATGTTAATCCTTCACACGACAGTAGCTGCATAATTGGAGGACCACGGTGTGCAATTCTGCCAAATGGGTAATATTTGCCAACTTGCTTCCACATTTTTAGACCATCTTTGCATTTGCGGCTATCAGCGCGCACATTACAGTTCGTGGAAACCTGTATCTTTACGGAATGGAAGTTTCCATCGGTCTGTACCCTAATCAACAGGGATCCTTTTTTTAAGGCGCGATTTGTTCGGGGCGTGCATCAACGGACGAAACGGGTTGGGCACAGGTTGTAAGAAAATTAGATCCATTTGGAAGAAGTAAAAAAAAAAAAAGAAAATACGATGTGAACTAGTCATAGACATTGCGATCGTATGCATGTGCTCATGAGTGACACATTGGAGATGTCCCCTTATATGTGTCCATTTGTTTGAACGATGAATGCAGTTAGAAACGCACGATTGAAAGAGTCAGAATTAGTGAGAAAAAATACACATAAACGATAATATTCTACGTGTGAAGGCTTCTCATTTCTGCTTCGTGAACTTACAAAATGTTATCTTTCCATTATTTACCTTCTTCGAACTGCATTTGTACACATCAGTTACCTGGGCGAATAGCCATTTTTCTTTTTTTTTTTTAAAACGTTTAGCACGAGCAGAATGAAGACAGACAATTTTGTTAACAAGTCTCGACTGGGTAGCAACGTAAAAACGGATTGGAGAAAAATGGAAAGGTGAAAGTACCTCGAAATTTTAGCGTAACTAAAGTTTTGCATTTTCCAAAATGTTCACTCTGTAATGGCTTCGAAATTTTCTCTGTTACCATATGGGCTTTACATTTCACTAGCCATTTTAAAAAAATAAAAAAAATCCCATTCAGGTAAATCTAACCAGAATGTTAAAATCGCTTTATTGCTACCAGACGTATGGCTTTTCTCACGTGGTGATCGCAATACATGTTTAACTATTCTTTGCAACAAGTGTACTTGTGCCCTTTCATGTAACATTTAGGTACATATTCGCCTGAACGGTCAGGCGATTTTTCACTTTTCCATGTACTTATTACGTGTACAATTTGGGAAAAAAAAATCTACCTTTTTAAAAGCGAACTTCCTTTTGTCAGGGAAACAAAAAAATTATCACCATAAGAAAAAGTGCCACTTAACTGTATCGTATGATTCCAAGACATCGCTGGGTTGCTGGGAAGAACAAAAAATGTTTAAGTTCACGATGGCAAAAGGTATGAGCGAAGAAGGTAAATGCACAAAGTATAAAATAATTTCGCCATACCTCTTTTGCTCGCTTAATGTTCGTTCACCTGCCGCTTATTAATTTTTCCTTTTCGCCATAGCGCCGCTAATATTTGCTTCCCATAATCCTCTGCTCGTGCACCCTGCCACTGACGCGCGAATTGTCACAATTTGGAACCCCGGACGTATGTATATGGGCAAGTTAATTATATCCAATGTACTCTCATTTACACAGGCATATTGCACAATACGCGGTTAGTGAAAAGGGTACAAATGAGCAGAAAATTAGTTCCTCCTGGGAAAAAACGAAAAAAAGTAATTTTTCCAAGTTGGGGGGAAAAGGCGAAATATAAGGTAAAAGAAGCGTGAACAAACTTAAAGGTAAGGAAACGTAAAGAAAGCAAAAACCAAACGAAAGGACGGCAAGGAATTGCAATACACACCCCTGCGCCTTCAAGGGGACACAAAAGAAACGTTAAATATTCGCACGGGCGCTCCACGCGACGCAACGCATATGTGCGCGCAATTGTACACTTAATTACACGTGTAAATATACACTTAAGTGTACACTTAAATACTTCGAAACAAGGAAAACAAATTGAAAAAAAAAGCAAAAGCAAAACAAAATCGGCAATCACAGTTCAATTGCATTTACCCAGTTTAAATTTTAAGATCCATAACTGTTAATTCACGATTTTTACATCAAGCGTTTGCTACACTTTCGTTGCATGCTTGCCACATTTACGTCACACGTGTTCGGCACATTTATGTTGCACGTTTGGGACATTTTTTCCCCTGTTATTTAATTTTTCTTTATCCCTTTTTCGTTTTTGCTCTTTTTTTTCTTCGAAACGCGGGTAAATTTGAACATTTTTTTTTTTAATACGTATACATGTTACACTCCTGAAGCAGAAATATGTATATATATATTTTTTTTTTTCTTCCTAGTAAATTATCGTTGTGTTTGCGCGTATAATATATGCAGTCACCCGTACGCTAATACCAGTTAATAAAGCATTCATCCATCCCACAAACCATTCAACAAACCACCAACAAACCACCGACAATCCATTCAACCAACCATCCAACAGACCAGCCAACCACAACCAGCCAGTTTTTTTTTTTTTTTTTTTCACCTGAATGTTCATATTTTTGCGAAATTGTTTTTTTTTTCATGCTCAAGCGATAAATGGGAAAGTATTTAATTTCCTTTTTTTTTTTTTTTCTTCTTTGCTTTTTTTTTTGCTGAATGTCAACTTAAGCGAAATGCAATTTATGTGAAATGCAATTTCTGCAAAATTCAAATTAGCGCATAAAATTTATTCATTATCTTATCACTTGTTATTGGAACGAATTTTTATTGTGTTACCATTTGCACGAGAAAACATCAGTAAAGCAAAGTATACGTATACGCGCACGCTCCTACGTACACACACACACACGCCAGCGCGCTTATTTGCCTGTACCCCTTTATTCCCTTATACGACAGATCACTGGTGCGCCCAGTTTTATCCTAAAAAAAAGAAAAAAAATAAACCTCTTTACGCCTTTCCCTTTTCAAACCTTCTTAACAAAATGGGTGATGAGGAAGTTCAAGCTTTAGTTGTCGACAACGGCTCAGGTAATGTAAAGGCTGGAGTTGCAGGAGATGACGCACCCCGTTCAGTTTTCCCAAGTATAGTTGGTAGGCCAAAGAATCCAGGAATTATGGTGGGCATGGAAGAGAAAGATGCATTTGTTGGTGATGAAGCACAAACGAAAAGAGGTATTTTGACTTTAAAATATCCGATAGAACATGGGATAGTGACAAATTGGGATGATATGGAAAAGATATGGCACCACACTTTTTACAATGAATTGAGAGCTGCACCAGAAGAACACCCAGTGTTATTAACAGAAGCCCCCTTAAACCCAAAAGGAAATCGTGAAAGGATGACCCAAATTATGTTCGAGTCATTTAACGTACCAGCAATGTATGTAGCCATCCAAGCAGTGTTATCTCTGTATTCCTCCGGTCGTACAACGGGTATCGTCCTTGATAGTGGTGATGGAGTTTCCCACACGGTGCCTATTTATGAAGGATATGCATTACCACATGCCATTATGAGATTGGATTTAGCAGGAAGGGATTTAACCGAATACTTAATGAAGATTCTTCACGAGAGAGGATATGGATTTTCTACCTCTGCAGAAAAGGAAATTGTTAGAGACATTAAGGAGAAGTTATGTTACATTGCCTTAAATTTTGATGAAGAAATGAAGACCTCCGAACAGAGTAGTGATATAGAGAAATCCTACGAATTACCCGATGGAAATATAATCACTGTTGGAAATGAAAGGTTTAGATGTCCAGAGGCCCTTTTCCAGCCATCCTTCCTGGGAAAAGAAGCAGCAGGAATTCACACCACCACGTTTAACTCGATTAAAAAATGCGATGTTGATATTCGTAAAGATTTGTATGGAAATATTGTCTTGTCCGGTGGTACAACCATGTATGAGGGCATTGGGGAGAGACTTACCAGGGACATCACCACCTTGGCTCCGTCCACAATGAAGATTAAAGTGGTGGCTCCCCCCGAGAGGAAGTACTCCGTGTGGATCGGCGGGTCCATCCTGTCGTCGCTGTCCACCTTCCAGCAGATGTGGATCACCAAGGAGGAGTACGACGAGTCGGGTCCCAGCATCGTCCACAGGAAATGTTTCTGAGCGGCGTGGCCGTGTTGGAAGCGAAGGAGGAGGCAGATAAAATGGGCAAAACTGGTCAAATGAAAGGACGGTGAATAAGACAAGCAGAGCAAAACTGAGAAAAGAGGAAGCCCGCAACTACCCAGCAGTTCCAACGATACGTAAGCGTCCCGTATATTCACGTATACAACTATGTTCGTAGGCACACGCGGTTGTGTTTATTTATTTATTTTTTTCGGTTTATGTGCCCCAGGCCCACCACAGTAGTACCCCATTGGTGCCTGGTTCAACCCCCTTGATAAAAAGAATAAAATAAAATAACAGAGAAAAAAAAAAAAAAAAAAACGGCATCTCCTCCCCTTCTATTCACCCTTTTTCATCTCACTTTTGCGTGTATCATCGCCCAACTGTTTTCCTGGGGCGTGGTGCGTTGCTTGCGTGAATTGCGCGCCTTTTCACTCCTCCCCCTCCCCTTGTGTGTGTGTTTATGCGTGCATAGACACGTGTGCACAAGTGTGTATATACCCCAGCATATGTCCATGTGCAGCTGCGTATATACCTGCGCACAAGTGTATGCATTTTTTTCCCTTTCCCCCTTCCCCATTTCTTGTTGTCCATGTATATATGTGTATATACACGTGCAACCACGTTCGTATATCCAGTGAAGCAGAATTGTAAAAAAAAAAAAAAAGAAAGAAAGAAAAAAGAGGCAACCGCGCAGTTTTTCTCCCCTGTGTGCAATTTCCGCCCCCTTATTGCCCACCCCTTAATATTTCATACCAGCCTGTTTTCTTACGTATGGACGTACAGGTGGAGAATCATCCATTGTTTGCAACAATTAAAAAACTGTAAAAATGAAATGTACAAAGTTGTAAATGTGGATGCGTTTGTGGCCATCTGCGCATGATGCATGAGAAGCAAAGAGTAGAAGGTGCGGCCAATCGAAGGAGCTACAATTGGGATGACCAAAACCCCAATCCCCTTCTGGGCTGTTCACCGTGATAGAGGTTTTTTTTTTGGGGCACATAAAACTTGTGCATTACGTTGACTGCAGAGAAGTGAACGTTAGCAAAATTCGGGAAGGAAATGTATAGAAAAATAAACTGGTTTTTCTGTTTAAAGCGGAAAGGGGGGATAGAATCCCTATTCGAAGAAGGGGTCGGTCGTCTCCCCAATGTGGGTGGCTAGCCCTTAAAAATTGAGCATTTCTTTTGGGGGATCTAATTACCGTTCAGGGGCCAGCCCTGTTTGCGCTTAGCATATCGCAGTTAGCAATTGTGCCTATATATGTGTGTGTGTTCTTGGGTGGGGTGTGTCTTCAGAATGAGTATTAAAGAGTGGAGTAATTTAATTTAAAAAAGGGTAGCAAAGAGGAATGTCAAA